TCCCGTCAGCATAATTTTTCTGTCCATAGGGGGTAGGAAAAAATTGGGCCCCTTTTTCTTATTCCTATTACCTCCCTAAAATCATAATGAAAAGTAAATATACTAAATTATTTTCCCTTTTTATAAATGGCTAATTTCAAAAATATCTGAAAAATTTTTATCTAAATTCTATTACATGAATATACAGAATATTATACTGAAAAAGCCCAATTAAAACACATTTATAATTCTAACCATAAAAAGAAACACACATGGTTCAGGACTCCGGGGAAATGCTAAAACAGTAAAAGCATATAATAATGATAGACTAAAGAAACCTATGGTTAAAATTTGAGAAGATTTCACCCATTTACAACTACTGAATGTACAAAAATGTCATAAGCTATGAATGCTTTCAATTTTGAACAGTTTAGTTTTTCACTTTGGAATCAGAAAATAAAGCCAAATGGACTAATAAGTAATTACAACAATTATAGAAGTTAAGTATTTTGTATTGAAGTTAAAATTTTGGTATGCAAGTCAAAATACCACTTTGTTTACGTTTTGCTAGCTTTATGACAAACTATTTCATATTAAGTGCTACTTTCTTTGGTGGTAAGTATCTATTATATCCATTTACTAAATACATGCCCACCCCTTCCAACGAAGAAAAAATCATTTCTGAGGCAAAATGTGCCTTTAAATTTGTAAAAAAATTTTAACCCCTTTACGATTAAGAAAAATGAAATAAAATGAGTAATATTAGGCTATTAACTTACCAAGGTATTTTGTTCTATAGTAAAATTCATTACTTAATTCATTCTTACCTCATATGAGTGTTGTTTAAAATGTAAAGATATATATTTTTCAATTTGAAATCAATCTTGACTTCTCGTAGACGTACAGAGCTGCAGGGCTGTCGATGACATATCAGAATGGTTTTATTTTGTTCTACTGTTTTCCTAAGCTGTCTGATCAAAAACTGCTCATAGGGATTTTCCTGAAAGATATTGACTGAAATGTTGAAATAGGTAACCACTGACAAGCTGGTCTAAAGGGTGAGTAATACTGCCTCAAAATTCTTAATTAAATTTCTTTAAATTGTCATACTGAAAAAAATCAGACTTATAAAAATGGAACTTTTATTGAGAAAAAGACTGAACAAGCAAATTGGTTGAACTGATATTTCCCACCAAAACAGAGCAGACAGACAGACTGACAGACAAATCCAAAACTATATACATACATGTACCACAGGGTTTTTTTTTTACCTTATAAAACAGAGACCTATAAAAGTCCTTTAAAAGAATTTCTCTTTAAAATCTTGCAGTTTTCAAAAAAAAAAAAAAAATGAAATTATGCCAACTTTTACTCTCCAAAATTAGCAATTTTAGCTAAAATCTTTCAAAAAATCAACCCTATAAAGAGAGTAAGCCCTGTCAAAGATCTAAAAGTCCACTCATCCGCTCGTAATCTAATATGAGAGCTTGATGCAGGACAAGTAGAAAATTTTTTTAACTGCACATTGGATTTAGAAGCTACTCGTCCTCGAGTGAGTCAGTGACTCTGAAACTATTTTTCAATGCCTGTTATAACTTAAACTTCAGGGAAAAAACATTGGAATTATGGACACACCGAAAAAAACGAAACAGAATAAAATATTCCTCACTTCTTCAAGCTGTGCCATCTTCGGATCCCTGCAGGAAAATTTCATGTAAGGTATCTCTTCTGGTAAAATTGGTTTTGTGACTGCCTCAAATACCCGTCTCTCCATTACCTTAGGCCGTTTTGACTTTGTGTTAAACTTATGCTTAAGACGAACATGGTGGAACCATATCTGCGGTACACTCCCTAAAAATAATGATAAAATAATTTTCATATCTTATTTTTTTGTCAAATGTAAGTCTCTCAAAAGAAATGATGAAGACTTCAACTACCTGCTGATTCTCAACAATTCCTGATTTAAACATTATGTGCTTTCTTCTGTTAATGTCAAACCCCTCACGGGGACGTAGACATGTCTGCGCGTCAAAAATCGCAAGAAAGCTAAAAAGAGTGGTTTAAAAGAGGATAAAAGAATATTTAAAAATGTTAAAAACAGGGGCTGGAAAAAACTAGGGTGAGACATGTTCGATGCAAGCTATGGCTGCACTGAACTGCTCTGGGGTAGGGAGTAGGGCAACTGCAGGGGGTAGGTGGTTCCAATGGTATACTGTCCTAGGAAAGGATGAGAATTTATAATAGTCTGAAGTTGCTGTAAATAACTGTAACATAAGGCCATGGCGGGATATTCAGGACAAGGGTGTCAAATATTCTTCTACGGGGATAGCAGCCAGACCATGGTAAATCTTATAAAGAAAGGATAACCTAGAATCTATACGTCTGAGTTCCAGTTTTCGAAGGTTAAGGGAGTGAAGCATGTCCGAGACGCTAAAGGTCTGACCATAATCTAGTTTAATCCATCGGGCTGCTCATGTTTGGATCTTTGGACATTTTCGATTTGATCTATTTGAGTTTTGGTGTGGGGAGACCATACTTTCGGAACCATTTCAATCTGGGGTCTGACTAACGTCTGGTAAGGGATGGACTTAATGGATTGGGATTTAACCTTTATGTTTCTGAGTAGAAATCCTAAAGTTTGGTTTGGTTTCTTGCATGTCCTGTCTATATGGACATACCATGTGAGGTTTTCTGATATATCAACGCTTAGTTTTTAGCTGAGGTAACCATTTCTAATTGGACTCCATGAAGGTAATATTGTGTTGGAATAGGATGTTTCCTTTTTGCGACGTGGATAACTTGACACTTGGAGGGCAGGGCCAAAAAACCCTTCTTTGTAGAGGCCTATTATAGACTGCTTCCTCAACCAAACTAGCCTCTTTTTTCCCCAGTTTGGTCCTCAAAATTCCCTAGCTTTTTGAAATTTCCCATAGAATTTAGAACAAAATTAAATGATGGTGTTGAATTAAAGTCTTTTACTGCCTTATTAGTATTACCCAGTGCTTTTTGTTTTTCTATTTTGAAGAACTTGTAAAAAGTTTGTGTTAAATTTGAGACCCCTTTTCCCAAAGTATGCCAAAATCATGCATATTTTCCCCAAGAAAAAGGCTGAAGGGTTAATTTCATATCCCACTCCAACTCCCACTTTTCTAACCAATTTTTTTTAGGTCATTTTGGAGGGTGACTGATTGGTTTGTAGACGTCAGAGCAATGTATACTGCAGTATCGTCTGCAAACAAGCGAACCAGGAAATTTATGGTTTGTGGGAGGTCATTTATATAAATGAGAAACAGGAGCGGTACTCAGCCTTGTGGGACATCTGAGGATACTGGGATGGGGTTTGAGCAGCTGTCATTGAGCACGACAGACTGCTGACAGATTGACCATTATTGGGTAGACAAGTGGGTGTTTGGACTACAACACATGACTTATATATTTTCCCCCATTGCATAGCTTACTTTTATCAGTATACCTCTAAATTCACGTAACATTATGAAGGCATTTACAATTGTATTTTCACACTTCAAAGGGCCCCAGACCTAGACAAAATCACGTAAAAATTCTCTTTCCTTTCAAAAGCGTTTACATGATCATGATTCAAAGTTTCATAAATAATTCCTAAATTCATAAACAACCATCATATTATACCATCTCCTTTGTGGCTTATTCAAGAAAATTTTTGAATCTAATTAATCGACTTAATCAAAATGACATTGTTGTGGTAACTATAAAACAAGATGAAAATTCTTACTCCTAGTCGCAAATTTCAAGGGCGACGCCATGTTTTTGTGCAGACAACAGGGTGTACACCACTAAATAATTTGGATGAAATGGATATGTCGGACCTTTATTTGTTAAGAGAAATTATGTCAAAATATAGCATAAGATCAACATAGAATAATATAATTTTTTTTTTTAAAAAAAAATACGCCACCAATGAATACATGTCTAGAAATATGGAGACCGATGTTTGAATGATATTGATATGCTTATCATCTGGACTATACTCACTTATAAAAAACTCTAAACAAGATTCACAAAAAGTGTCTCCATTAAAAGATCAAAAGTCAGGTTCTCTCAAAATTAATAACACTGAAAAAGCAAACATTCTTAACAAACAATTTCAATCAGTTTTCTCACCAATTATACCACTCACACTTAAAGATCAATGTATACAAAAACTGAGACTCATGGATCCCAGAAAGTATTGTCAGTACCCACAAATGAATGGCATCATCATCGGTAGGGCAGGTGTACTAAAGCTCCTCGCCAACCTCAATGCCAACAAAGCTGCCGGCCCTGACAACATTAGACCAATTGTCCTGAAGGAGCTGAGAGAAGAGATTGCTGACATCGTTGCAGTTCTTTTCCAAAAATCCCTGACCACCGGTAATATTCCCAATGACTGGACCCGTGCAAACGTATGCCCTGTCTACAAAAAAGGTGATACAAGTGATCCAGCAAACTATCGCCCAATTTCCCTTACATGCATCCTCTGTAAAACACTCGAACATATAGTTGCCTCTCAACTATCCTCTCACTTTACCACCCACAACATACTCTTTGATCTTCAGCATGGATTCAGAGAAAGACGATCATGTGAGACACAACTCATTGAACTTACTGATTACCTTGTGAACAACCTTTCAAATGGCAAACAAACAGATCTCATACTTCTTGACTTCTCCAAAGCTTTCGATAAAGTAAATCATCTTAAACTCTTAGATACCCTGCAAGAACATGGTGTTTGTCCTCAAATTCTGAACTGGATACAGTCATTCCTTATTGGCCGTAGACAGACTGTAGTTGTGGATAGTGACTGCTCATCTGAAGTCCCAGTTACCTCTGGAGTGCCCCAAGGCTCGGTCCTAGGGCCCCTCTGTTTCCTTCTATATATCAACAAGTTACCATCTTCTGTCCTCAAATCCCAAGTCAGATTTATTTGCAGACGACACTGCTGTATACCTAACCATCAATTCCTCCTCAAGAGCCCCCAACTCTCCAACATGATCTAGACAATATGGTTCTGTGGGAGAAGCAGTGGGACATGGAGTTTAACCCTTCAAAATGCCAAGTCATCCATATCACCAAAAATAAGACCATAATTAAACACAAATATATGCTCCATGGCCAAGTCCTAGAGTCTGTTACAAATGCTAAATATCTCGGACTAGATCTATCTGCTGACCTTAAATTTAATACACATATATCTCGAATAACTTCCAATGCAAACAGATCCCTTGGCTTTATTAAAAGAAATGTCATCACTAAAAATGAGAAAGTAAAAGAACTAGCATACAAGTCCCTGGTCCGCCCACAGGTTGAATATGCCTCATCTATTTGGTCTCCTTATACTAAAACCAATATTGACAAAGTTGAGATGATCCAGAGACGTGCAATAAGATGGGTTAAAAGGGATTACTCCCCTCACTCTAGTGTCACAGCCATGCAGGAAGAACTGGGCTGGCAATCCCTTGAACATCGCAGACTGGACTGTAGACTGATAATGTTTTATAAGATATACCATAACCTAGTTGCAATTAATCTCCCAACTTATGTTCAAACCCCACATAGATTAACCAGGCATATGCATCCCTTATCCCTACGTCAAATACAGGTATCCTCCGACTACCATAAGTACTCTTTCTTCCCTCATAGCATTATACTATGGAATAAACTTCCTAGTAACATTGCCACCCTGCCCAACCTGAGTCAGTTCAAACAGGCAGTGGTGGGTTTGCAGTACTAGTCTTACTCCCAGTGTTTTTAAACTATTTTATCTCTTATCATCTTGTTTCACTATAAACATTTTAACCATGACTAGAATACATTTTCAGTCTCACCTTCCAAGCATGTCAATGTTTGGACTTTTCTTTTTAGCTTTTCTCTTCACCTTTTACTAACAATCCGACGTGCACTAAATTCCTGCCTTTAACACTCGTAAGAGGGGTTGGCAGTATCCAGAGATAGATAGATAGACTGGATAGTTTGTACATAATCATTTAATTGCATAGTTATAGAAGGTATAAAGAAAGGTTTCCAACAACAGTTGAACTAAAGTGGTTTGCAGCACTTTTTCCATACACTATTTTTACAGGAGATTATTATTTAATACCGGAAAATTTATAGTTTAACGCCCAAAACTCTATTCTGATCGAGGTACATATATTTTTGTTCTGGGTCACTGTCTATAATTAATTAACTCTTTGTATTGACCTTTATGTATCAAAATAAAAAGTATGAGTTGTTAGATTACATGGTAATATTTACATGTTGCAAAATAAACCAGATTTAACCGGGACATGATATAGTAAAATTATCATGTCTCGCCTCTAACATACATGTATATGCTAATTGTTAAAAAAAATGGTTATATGAGCAATATCAATATCTTCATAACAATCTTTTTATTTTGATAACCATTTATGTTTTTAAAATCAAACACACAAAAACAACAAAACACAACAAAGAAACAAAGAAACAAATGCAAAAAACACACACAAAAAAAACACACAAAAAAAACACACAAAAAAATATATAAATAAAAGATTAACAACTGTACTGTACAGTTTTACAAAAGTTATACATTGATATCATGAAACTAGATAAAAAACGAATGAACGCGATAGTGTCTATTGCATAAGTCCAAACAGCAAGCACTTATATATACTATCATTATAATACATGCTTTTCCCGTGCATATTTTTTTATACTTGTGAATGTATATGCCTATTTAATTTACAATCACCTTTGTGTGTACTTACACATCGTCAAGACAATATAATGCTTCAATGAAACGCTTGATTTTTATATGCCCATACATGTATAAAATAGTATCAGTTTCAGTTTTATTAAACCAAGGCATATAATATGCAACTGGTTATAACAAACAAACAAAAAGAAAAATAACAGTCAAAAATCACTAATATCACAATAAAAGAATATAAATATGACTAGCTAAATAAACAAAAAAAAGGAGATCATATTGTTCATTTCAAGTTCTGAATTCAATACAACACGTATTTTACATTGTAACAAATGGGAACGGAGAATGAGAATTATTAATTATCTAAATTTTAACATAATGTTTTTTTACAAAATAAAGATAATTTTAGTAGAATCTTTTTATCGCAACTATTCATTAATCCGTCAAGTTTAAAAATATTTGGATGAATATAAAACCTGGGAAGAAGAGATTTATGTCTTATGTCATTAAAGTACGAACATTCAAATAAGTAATGAAATTCATCACCAATAGCTTGATACGGACATAAGGAACAAATGTCTGCCTTTTTCAATTGGTAATAGGTGATTCATTGTTCTAAATTTACATAAATATTTGCCTATGAAAAAAGGAAGTACATCTAGATATTTTTCAAAACAATGAGTATTTTTATATGTACGATACACTAGATCAATAGTACTATGCCAATCTTGTAAAAATTGATCTTGTAGTTTAAGCTTCACAATATTTTTAAAGTGATTAATATTATCTACCTTCTGTAAATGAAAATATTCTGACATGCCAAGATTTATAAGTGTTTCTTTCAGAAAATTTATCCATTTAGAATTAACAATATTCCTAGAGGACAAAGACAACATTGTTTTATAAAGTAGTTTACATATCTTATTTTCCTTAGCATTAATAATTTTACCCCAGAAACACAAAACTTTTGCTTTCACTTGTAAGACTAATGGAAATATGCCTAACTCACCATAAACATGGAGTTGAATAGTGTATGTATATCTGTGCCATAAACCATACAATTAGGTGTAGAAGCTTTTAAATTCAAAATAAATTTACAAAAATACAACTGAAATTTCTCTAGAATTTAAACTTGTTTGAATCCCCAAACTTCACTTCCATAAAGAAGGATAGGTACAACCATAGAGTTAAATAAATGTAGTTGCAAAGAAATTGGTAAACATAATTCGCGGGACTTTTGGATCACAGAAAACATTGCTCTTCTAGCATTATCAACAAGAATATTTTTATTTCAAAAATTTACCATTATAATTAGAAAGTACTCCAAGGTAAGTAAAGTTATCTACTAAATCAAGCTTTTTACCATTGTACATAAAATCAAAATCATCCTTAAGTTTTGACTTACTAAAAACCACTACTTTAGTCTTAGCTTCATTTACAGCAAGATTCCATATATTACAGTAATCAGTCATAGCATTTAAGGCATTTTGCAAATCAGTTTTGCTTTCTGCTAAAAGTACTGTATCATCAGCATATAACAAAATAAACAATTTAACATAAACATCAATGACATCGTCACTAAGACATTCACGAGTTGCGTTAGAGATATTGACAAGTATCTGTTTATTGATATTATCTTGATAAGACTTAATTTTCTCGTTTACCATCTTTTTTTATACGATTTTTCGCTAGACACCATTGATTGGAAGTTAGTATCGGTCTTATTTCTTCTATAATAATTCTTATCTGACAAGTATGTTCTTCTTGCTATTTTACAATCAGCATCAAACCACTCTTTCCGACGTGATTTCTTACGTCTTTTAGTACTTTTTTGTACAGTATTTTTCACATCAATAATCAAGTGACACCTATTAGCAGCATTATAAAATAGTTGAGAAACTTTCTCAGTAAAGTTATTAATAGCATTAATTGTCACAATAAGTTTTACTTGTCAATGAGTCTGAGAGTTCTTCTTATAATACAGAAACACTGTCTAAATCAAAACTATTTTAAACACATCATTCACAGCTTTATCCCATACAGTACAGTATGGGTTTTTAACAGTACTGCAGTCACTGTCATGAATCTCAGTGACACATGAACTATTTTGGGTTACACAGAAATACAATATAAATTTATAATTGAGCCAATATTTAGTGGTGTTCATTATTAAGATTATTGGACTCGAGTAATTTTGAGGACGAAATTTATCATCAAAGCAAGCTTTTGTTGACAATGACTGCATTAAGGTGGTGACAGCTGTAGAAAATATATTATCACTACCGTATATTAATGAGGCACTTATGATAAATTGATAATTTGGTGAGTGCTGAAAAAATATTATGTTATACTTCTAATTTTGTAATCCTTCTTGCTAATCATATCTTAAAACTGATTTTGTTCAAACATTTCTTCAGCTGTCAAAAATTCAAATGATCTGTTTAATAGGTTGTGCATTGTGCGATAAACCATAGTGAAGAATTCATTTTGCATGATCTTTAAGAAATTGATAGGTGGTTCGAAAGCTCGATTGGTTATAACACCGACTGTCATTCTTGAGGTCCTGGGTTCCATCCTGGGTAACACCTTTGGAATTTTTCAGAAGCATTTTCAGTGTTTCCACCTAACTATGGTTGGAGACCATCAAAACCGGACAACCATATATCCCGGACGGTTCCAAAAATGCCTGATTTATTTGTTTAGTGGTTGTTGATCTATCCGTCGCTTTTATGTCAACAATAACTGAATACTGGTTGGGGACCACCAAAACCCAGTGAAACCGGACAACCACCCCAAAAATGCTTAATTTAGTAGTTTCTTTGTTCAGTGGTTGTCAGTCACTTTTTTCAAAAATAAATGCATATTTCTTTTAAAATTAAGTAAATAGATATATTTCAACCTTCGTAAATGGTAATATTTAAATGTCTATTTCAAGAATGTTGACGTTGAAATTTGGGGGTCAAGAAAGCAATGCCTGACCTCATATACCAGCTATAATCATTTGACGTGTGAATAATAGAATATCCGAAACTTCAGCATTTGTTGCTGACATATTGTTTATCATGTTAAAAATAAAAAATCAAAACACCCAAGCTTTTATCGAAATTAAATCAAGTCATGTACATATCTGTCCGGACACATGGTACTGTAGTGTAGACAATTTAGGTAAATTTGATACCCTCCTTGTTGAGCCTCAGATATAAGTGTCAATACAATCAGAAATAAACAAACTAGTTTGTTAGTTAGGAGAAGAACCTAGCTGAACTTTGTCAAATTAAAAATTATGTAATCAGTGTAGGGAAAAATGTTCCAAAAGTGTCCGGTTGATGGTCTCTGACCCAGGGCTCTCAGTAGGGTCAGAATTTCACGAGTCAAAGACTCTTTGGCTAAAATTTTCATGAGTCAAATAATTTTTTTCTAGTGTCATTTGACTACATGAATCATTTTTATGTTACAAAAATAACTGTATTGGAGGTCATTTTTGGAGATTCCAAAGTCTAAATTGACAGAAAAAAATGCCTAATTATAAATGTCTATACCCCCTCCACCTAAAAAACAAAACAAAAAACAAATAAAACAAAAACATGAATTGGTGTGAAAGAATAAAATAAGCAGCAGCTTTTCTGATTAAATGTATAAAATATAAAAAAAATATCTTTACTCAGGTATGCTATATCATATTAATTTTAAATACCAAAATGTACCAGGTATATTTTAACAAATGCACAGGTACTCCAAGTAAATCAAAGACGTATTAAGCAATCAATAATTGACACCTAAAGTATGTAATTCTTATCAGTTGTGTAGAGCTATTTTTAGCGCTGTCAAATTGCAGCCACTGAATTGTCGCGCTTCAGTGCACAGGGTATAAACAATTGCCGTGTGTAAAGCATTTTATACACGGCTTATACTGCCTGTTGACATTTTTTATGAGTGTGATTTGAACACATGTAGGATTTGATAATTAGGGGTGGATTTAAGGTAATTATTATTGCATAGCTGAAAATCCCATGTGGCAAATTGACTCTTGAGCAGATTTTATCACGTGTCAAATATGTGCATTTCCCGATTTTCACGAGTCAAAACCCGGATCCCCGTGTCAATCGAGAGCCCTGCTCTGACCAGTACCGTTATTTGTTCTATAATTAAGTATTTAGATTATTTCCATTTTCTTAAACAGTAATATTTAAATGTTTTTTTTGACATTAAAAAATTGGACGCCTAGAGTGCAATACCTGACCTCTTATAGCTATAATCATTTGTAGAGTATCGAAAACTTCAGCATTTGCTGCTAAAATATAAATTATAAATTCTGTATGGAAAAATGTTCAAAAAGTGTCCGGTCGATGGTTGGTCCCCTACCAGTAGAAATGTACCGGTAAGAAATCCAGGTAATCATCGCATGTATCAGTGCTTAGTTATTATACACTGGGCATGTAAAAGAACCAAGGGGTCTATTCAGTAAGAGCTAGGGGCTGGTGCCAGATACCCTTGTATCTCATAGCTATCTCTGAAGTCCAGAGTCATGTATACGTCCCCATGAAGGGGTTAACATTAATTGAGGATAGATAGATTCAAGATATTGTGGGAGAATGTCATAGTGTAAAACTGTGCTAAATAGTTATAGAGGAAATGTATACCATCGGGTAACCATCTCTCTTCCATTTAGTCAAACCCCTGCTGGAAACCTATAATTTGCAAGACATTAGTATCAAAGGATATAAACATGTTTAAAGTGTTACATTTGGTTTTTTTGTATACCAGAAAACCGCACTCATGGTTTCCCATAAAAAATATACAGCAGTTTTTCAAATTTCTGACATGAATTCCCAAATTTCCACTCCAAATCAAGAATTGAATAAATCATCAGGTAAACGAAAGAGATAGCAAAATTAATGCTTTCATAAAGATACAAATGAATTACTACCACATGAAGCTTATTCATACCCAGGTTACATGTATTTCTTACTTTCAGCATTTTATACCTAAACATTTAATAATATAATTTTCCTACTTAAATTGGAAATAAATCGTTTAAGTTTAAATTATAAGTGTCTTATTGTTAATAAAACATGGTTTTAAAGTGTTAATTTGGCATATTTATTCATTTCTCCTTGAGTGAATATCTGGCGTATACGTATACATTTCTTCTTGAGTTAATACCTGGCGTATACATATACATTTCTCCTTGAGTGAATACCTGGCATTATATGTAAACATTTCTGCTTGAGTGAATATCTGGCATATACGTATACATTTCTCTTTGAGTGAATACCTGGCATTGTATGTAAACATTTCTCCTTGAGTGAATACCTGGCATTGTATGTAAACATTTCTCCTTGAGTGAATACCTGGCGTATATGTATACATTTCTCCTTGAGTGAATACCTGGCATTATACATTTCTGCTTGAGTGAATACCTGGCATTATATGTAAACATTTCTCCTTGAGTGAATGCCTGGCGTTATACGTATACATTTCTCCTTGAGTGAATACCTGGCGTATACATATACATTTCTCCTTGAGGGAATACCGGGCGTATATGTATACATTTCTCCTTGAGTGAATACCTGGCATATATGTATAGATTTCTCCTTAAGTGAATACCTGGCGTATACGTATACATTTCTCCTTGAGTGAGTACCTGGCGTATACATATACATTTTCCTTGAGTGAATACCTGGCATTATACATATACATTTCTCCTTGAGAGAATAACTGGCATTATATGTAAACATTTCTCCTTGAGTGAATACCTGGCTTAATTTGATTAAAATCATTTTTTTTACTGCACTTATACTTTAACTAGGGGTAAAAGGCTGTACTCATGCTGGGGTTAAACAATCCTAACGAAGGCTACTTTTTTAAGGGGCTCAGAAAAAGACTAAGATAGACTTAATTTCAGTTAATCCAGTTAAGAGTTATTTCCCTTACACCATAGAAATGCACATACAGTAGTATGATGTAATTTATTTGTATATGCTGGTGTTTTTTTTCCTCCATATTCATATTTAAACCAGTAATTGTAGACTCCATTGAAGGTTAATTAAAAAGCCTTAAAACATTAAAACGTAACATTTGAATTTCTTACATACATTGTAAATGAGTTGGGGCACTTTAAACAGAAATATACACAAAGATAGTTAAGAAATATACTTTGAAATAAATTGAAAATCATTTTTTTATGCTTTTCAAAAGTTTGCGAATCTGGCAATATTTAGCACTGCTGGCAATTTTCTGTAGGAGTTCACAACGCTGTGAGAGTTTGGTGGTTTATTACAGCCCTACTATACATACTATCAAGCACTGAGAATAGTTGAGCGCACTGTCTTGCAGACAGCTCTTATTTGTGCATACAATTGTCAGGAGACCTAAATTTCCCAATTGACAAAACTGAAGATAATTCTCAATTTTATCTTGACAATTTCTGATATTTACACCATAGATGTCAAAGTTTTAATTTGTTATTTATTTAACTTTGTTTTGAAATGTTTGACATGATGAATGATTAATATTTTGGAAAAGTTTGCATAAAAAACCTTGTTGGCACTTAGGGACAATGAAATATTTACAAGCTAAATTGTTATTAATACTTTATTATTGTGTTAATATATATAAAAAATACATGTATATGTAGCATTTTGCTTTTTGCTTTTTTCATGGTATTATTTCTCAATCTTAAAACACCATGTTCTTCACTTAAGTTGTAAAAAGTTATACCACATGATATTGATTATAAACTTGCATTGATTATGTTCATACAATGTAAGTGCATATAAACTTGAATTGCTGCTGTTCGTACAATGTAAGTGCATATAAACTTGAATTGCTGATGTTCATATAATGTAAGTGCATATAAACTTGAATCTCTGATGTTCATCTAATGTAAGTGCATATAAACTTGAATTGCTGATGTTCATACGATCTAAGTGCATATAAACTTGAATTGCTGCTGTTCAGTGATGTAAGTGCATATCAACTTGAATTGCTGCTGTTCATACGATGTAAGTGCATATAATCTTGAATTGCTGATGTTCATACGATGTAAGTGCATATAAACTTGAATTGCTGATGTTCATACAATGTAAGTGCATATAAACTTGAATTGCTGATGTTCATACAATGTAAGTGCATATAAACTTGAATTGCTGATGTTCATATAATGTAAGTGCATATAAACTTGAATCTCTGATGTTCATCTAATGTAAGTGCATATAAACTTGAATTGCTGATGTTCATACGATCTAAGTGCATATAAACTTGAATTGCTGCTGTTCAGTGATGTAAGTGCATATCAACTTGAATTGCTGCTGTTCATACGA